ATGAACACAGAATGGCAGGTCCAGATGTAGATGCAGGTGTAGTTGAAAGACAAAAACACGTCAAGGATAGAAAATATTACAAATACAAAACAGGTTGAGCAGAGTAAGTAAAGCCAGTATCATAGTGAAGAAATGTGGTCAGTTTGTCCTCCAGCAGTTTAAGCCTATAGCAGTATCACTACAGTAAGGGATAGCTCAGGAAACCTAAGCCAACCCTAACCATAGGATTCATCAAAAAAGGAAAGATTTAAGCCCAGTCTTAAAACTGGACAATGTGTCAGCCTCACAGACAGAAACTGAAAGTTGTTTCCACATGAGAGGAGCCTGATAACTGAAAGATCTTCCTCTTATTCTACTTTTGGAAACTCTAGGAACCCCAAATAAACCTGCAGTCTGAGAGAGAAGCGCTCTGTTGGGGAAATATGGAACAATAAGATCTCTAATATAAGATGGAGATAAGTTGTTGTGAGCTTTGTTTGTTAGAAGTAAGATTTTGAATTCAATTCTGGATTTGACAGGGATCCAATGGAGAGAAGCTACTGGAAAAATTTGATCTCTCCTCCAACTCTCATTAAAACTCTGGCAGCAGCATTTTGGATCAGCTGAAGACTTTTTAAAGAAGTTTTGGGACACCCAGATAGTAAACAATTGCAATAGTCCAACCTAGAGTTGGAAATAACTGGCAAAGATTGCAGTCTCATTTATGACTGTGTCTTTGAAAAACCACTCTGGAACAGATCATTGAGATACTAAGTGGACCTGTCTGATTGCACTCAATAAAATAATATGTTTCTATTGGTTGCTCTTTTCTTCCGGGGTCACCACAGTGAGCAAACTCACACGAAAGATTTGACAACTTGTTTTACGCCGGATGCCCTTCCTGACGCAACCTGGGCTCGAACCTGCAACCGCGGCACTGACCACCAAGCTCCCGCAGCCCCATTGTACTCAACGAAATGACCGTGCTATTCTTTTATATTCAACTCAGCTCAACTTTATTTTGGTAAATTAAAAATGCAAGGCCGTAAGTCAGAAAAAAAAAATCTATGTTAAATGATTGAACTGATTTAAAAACACTACAAAGACACAGACATCTTTTCTGGGCCAAATATGGACCCAGGCTGAGTGAAAATGTCTCTTGAGGCTTGATGAACTAACAAATGAAATTCCTTTTGGAATTCATGAACGTTCTGTCATCTATGCTAATAATCTGCCTCATTTTCAACACAGAGCTAAAAATGAATAAATTATTTAATAAAAACAGATACTGTGGCCGTTCAAAGTGCATTACATGTGTTTCAATCCATACTTGTCTGAAAAGCCCAAAGATTTTTAATTGTTTGTTTGCTGGTGAAGACATTTAAATCTGACCTGTGATAAAACTGCTCTGAAATTCAAAGGAGGAACCTGTGTTGTCATGAAACATAAACTGAGCAAAGAACCAATTTTCAATTGGAACTATTAGCTCTTTGTCACCAGCCTCTATGAAAGTTACCCAGCTACTCATTTAGACCAAACAAAGCATCTTAGCTCCAGGAAAAGTTAATTCTCGGAGAGATTAGCTGAAAATTTGTCATAGCGTCAATGACCCGCTGAGGTATGATGCATCTCTTTGGTCCTGCGTCAGGTCATCGCTGAAAACTTTTCCAAGACATGACTTTCAAATACTGTTCAGCTGCTGTAGACACTCGGGTTTTTTAGATCTGACACTTTGTTTTTCATCCATTACATATATACGGACTATAAGTCATTAAGTTTTGTGTTGTGTGCTTCCTTGACTGATGAAGCCTTCCGGATCGAAGGCGAAACGTTTCAGCACAAAAAAAGAAACTGTCCAGATGACCTGACTGAAAAATGTTGGATACCCTTGAACAACATCCTAGAAGCAATACAAACTAGTTTTAACTGGCCATGATGTAGTGTTTCTGAAATATAAATGAAGTTCAGACAATTGTTGTTGTAACAAAAAAAAAAATCGTTTAAATCGGTTTCTCATGCAAGTATCGGCTGATTTCCCATTTCCCAAAATTAAGGAAATTGGGAACCCCTTAGCACTTATATACAAGTGCTGGTGCTGGTGCAGGTGCGCTCAATAGTCCGGAAATTACGGAACTTGACTCAAATTTATGCACAAACTGCACGATATGTTATGATCAGCTACCAGGACTGAAAATGAGAAAAAGTACATAAATTCCTAAAAATTAAGGAAAACCCTTCAGAAAACCTATTATTTTAGAACATTACAAAAATATCTGGCTTTTTGGAGGCCAAGTTTTTTTTTTTTTTTTAAATTGAGACGTTTCAAAAAAGCACAGCTCTGCATCACAAACCAGAAGAGATTTGATGCTAAAATGGCCAACCCTTACTATTAAACTCCCCCATTTTCTAAATCCCCTCAAAAACATTTCTGTTTGTTGCTTGACATTCACATGCGTTTTCAAATTGCACTCATTTTCTGCACCCGGTTATTTTGCAACTTGTTCCCAGAACAGCTTGTTAAACCATCTGAGTGTTTAGAACCTGTTGAACTTTACAAATCAGAACGCTCTTGAAAAAGAAGTGCAGGAGAGTGGTTTTTTTTAAAATAAATAAATACATATTAGTTTTTTTGTAACAACGAGCCATGTAGCCACAGCCGATCACACAGACAAACCCTTTCTGGAGATGACATACTTGAGTTCAGTCAGCCGGAGGGAATGTACTCTGAAAATCAAAAGACATTAACCAATTAGCACTGATCAATAATCACAGCCACACGGGGATGAGCCAGACTCAGAGTGCTGTTAATGTGTGCCTCTAGGCCAGGAGGCAGGCTGAAAATACTATTCCTCTCAGCTCTCCGCCAATTAAAATGTTGGAAATACTGTTGACATGCCACAGCTCTCCAATACAGTGTCTCCTCCGCTGTAGCCAGGCAGAACAGGCTACGAGCGGAAATCCAAGGTGGAGGGAGAGAGAGAGAGAGGGCAGAAGAAGAGAAGTGTGAGGTATGACAGAAGAACTGGAGAGTGTATGTGTTAGGCTGTGAAAGCAGGTGCTATAGTGGGTCGCAGTAAGCAGCAGGTAATCTCCCTGAGATAAGCAGGAGCATGACAAGCAGCCTTTAATTCCGTATGAGAGGTGGCAACGTGGCGTTATCACAGCGCTGCTCTCAAGTCCTTTCTTTGTATATAGATTTAGAAAAAGCTGTAGAGTGGACAGAAGATGCATTTTGATGAGGTTGGCAAAAGAGGAGAAGCAGCAGTGCTGGTGTTCTGCACATTTTATCCACGAGCATACACAGATCACACGGCTGCACAAATCTGTAGTCAGGATGAGGAGCGCGCATATCAGCATGGAGCTGAGGGTGTAAGAGCAATTGAAGTGGAAGGAAGGGAATAGCAATGGAGGGGGAGTAAAGAAAAGAGGAGGAGACGTCTAAGATATTACACCTGTCTTAGGGGGTGTTTGAAGGAGCAGGCATCATGAGGGTGGAGATTACACTCTGTCCTCGTCCCTTCAGGCTGCCGGCTACTGGATGAATCTAATCGCCCACATCTAATAAGGTTGAGCTTTTGTATTTTATCCAAAAAGACCTTCAGTGTGAAGAAAGACGAAATGTTTCAACAAAGAAGAACGCGTCCTGAGGACCTGACTCCACTTCATCTACCTGGAGTAATGAGCATGCATCAGGACATAATCACCCACAGCAGCACCCAGACACGCACGCATGCGCGCACGTTCATGCATTTCTTGTCTTGTGGGGACTTTGCATTGACTTCCATTCATTTCTATAGTCTAACCCTGACCCTTACCCTAAACCTAACCATTACCAGTACATGCCTAACCCTAACCATCTGCAATTCACACCGTAGTCCTCAACCTAACCCCTTACCCACCATTGAGACTTATCCTTATGGGAACCAGGCTTTGAGCCCCACAATGTAGGTTTTTTTTTTTCAAAATTGGTCCCCACAGTGTAACCTGAAACACACACACACAGTGCTCTGTCTATAGACAGTAGCATAATATTAGATGGCCATAATGTGTGAATGTTTACTGCTGTCACAGGAGTCTCCAATCATGTATCGATCCAGCGTCACTTCTCCTGCCTGTTCCTTCCTGAAGTCATTGCAAATATTGACACATAACTCATTTGGTTCACTTAGGAGGCAACTGATGCTCGTTCATGCGTTTTTTTCTACAACGCCCAGAATCAAGTCGGTTGCCCTCTAAAGTGGGGTGACAAGATTTCCGATTGATTTCCGGTTTGAAAACAAACCAACGAAACAGAAGGGATTCAAAAAGAAGTTGTTTCTTTTTATTTTATTTTTCAGTTTGACATCTTGCATAACTGCAAAGCAATATACTGTATCTCCTGAATGTTTTACATTTTTTTTAGCTTGTTTTATTCTGAATATTTGGTTGAGTCTGTGAAATTTTTCCCTCATCATGTCAAATCTTTTCTTGGTTTTAACATCTAAATGTCATAAACTACTGCTTTTTCATGTGTGTAACAATGGCTAACAGACGATAGAGAAAAACATATAAAACGTGCATTATTGTATTTCATTACTGTAATAAAAATCATTAAAATTCCTTTGTATTTTCTCTTTAAATGGTTAAAACAATTGAGATTTAAAGATTACCCAAAAATTCACTATTTTTCCTAAATGAAGGTGTTTTCTGTCATGCATTTCTTTACAGAAGACAATAGAAAGCTGTTTTCCCTTTAGCTATGCTAATATGTGGTATAGATTGAAAACGTGGGGACAAAATGTGAAACATGGTGGATTATTTACAACATTTTGGGTGGCAGGCCCAGACGTAAGTCATCTAAGGTCTGCTCTCTAAACAGAAGTGCAACAACTTGAGTCGAGGCTCATTACTTCTTTACATTAGACTGCAGTTAATTAAAAAAAATCTAATCCACCACTTTTCATCCCTTTATCTCCCCCTCTTTCCCTCCTTCCTGCCCCCTCCCAAATTGTCCTGCTCTTCCTCCTCTTCCTCCTCATCAGGGCCGCTGTTCCAGGGAGAACTGTAAGTACCTGCACCCTCCTCCTCACCTAAAGACGCAGCTGGAGATCAATGGAAGGAACAATCTCATCCAGCAGAAAAACATGGCAATGCTGGCCCAGCAAATGCAGCTCGCCAATGCCATGATCCCTGGCACGCAGTTACAACCAGTGGTGAGTAGTTCAAAGTACTAAAGTAGTAAAAAAGTACCAGTGGTGAGAAGTTCAACACACTTCCAGAATATGAGCTCATTATATCTGATAAATGTGTGGTATTTTATATTTGAAGACAATCCATCCACCATCCTTATACCCGCTTCTTCCTTTTTGGGGTCATGGGAGTCACTGGCGTCCATATCCAGCAGTCACTGTGTGAGAGTGAGAGAGTGAATAGTTGTTTGTCTCGTTTGGCTCTATGTGTCCCTGTGATGGACTCGAGACCAGTCCAGGTTGTCCACCACCTCCCACCTAGGGACAATTTAGAGTTACCAGTCATCCTAACATGCATGTTTTTGGTCTGTGGGAGGAAAGAGTACCCAGAGAAAACATGCAAACTCCACCCAGCAAAGTTCTAAGCTGGGATTTGAGCTGACAATCTTCTTGTTGAGGAAATCCAGCTCTACCAACTGTGCCACCGTGCCACCAAATGTATCAGCATACCTTTTTTTTTAATCATACCTCTTTATTTTAGGAAGTGAGCAAATTACGTTTGTGTCTGTGGATTTAGCTCGAGAAGTATCTGCAAAGTACAATTACTCAAGAAGAAAAACTTCATCAATTTGGTCCAACAATTTTCAGTCAGGTCACCTGGACAGTTTCTTTTTTTTTTTGTGCTGAAACGTTTCACCTTCCATCCAGAAGGCTTCATCAGTCAAAAAAACACACAACACAAAACTGATTCTTCTCCCAACTGCTTACTCCAAAGTGGAACAAACCAGTTATGTTGGTGCTAAGATGGTCTCTTTGGCATGCCCCCTCCTCCGGTGCCGGCCCTCTCCCTCGCCGACAGTCATGTCAAACTGGTTCAAAACCAACAAAGTCCATGCTCAATAATCCAGGTATACAATCCAACAATTTTCAGTCAGGTCATCTGGACAGTTTCGGAGGAGGGGGCGTGCCAAAGAGACCATCTTAGCACCGGCATCACTGGTTTGTTCCACTTTGGAGTAAGCTGTTGGGAGGAAGAATCAGTTTTGTGTTGTGCATTTCCTTGACTGATGAAGCCTTCTGGATGGAAGGTGAAACGTTTCAGCACAAAAAAGAAACTGTCCAGATGACCTGACTGAAAATTGTTGGATTGTATACCTGGATTATTGAGCATGGACTTTGTTGGTTCATCAATTAGGATGTGCGTGATTTTAATTTTTCCCAGAGACTGATAAATGTCTGATGAGATATTAGTGTTGGTACTAATAATATTAATAAATATAGCTTTAATTTATCACAAAGGTCTCCAAACCAGAGCCAGTGTTGTGTTGATTTCTGTTTCCCTGATTAGATCTACCTCTGAATGTTATATACAGTAAATTAGTGTATACAATGGGCTTAACTGAAAGTCAAATTTCCCTGACCTCTGTTTTTAATTCTGCACCTGGCAAAGTGCTATACTGTTAGCTATTTAGCTAAAAATAAATAAATAAATAAATACCCGTGGTTATGAAGGTGGCCATATGGCAAGCCAAGTGTCTCATTAATAGCCACTTTTACCTATTAATGAGACATTTTGCTTGCCATGTTTCTTGACCACCCTCTAGTGGCTGAAAATGGTAGTGTTCAATCAAAAAAAAAAAGTTAAGTCCAGAGGATCTGACTTAACTTATTTAGATTTTTCTACCTGGATTGTTGAGCATGCATCAGGATAGGTAGTGTTCAATATTTTTTCCATGGCAGAATGAATGAAATCGCCACATCTCAGCCAAAATTTGGGTTATAAATATGGGGGAAAAAAATGTATATTAGTCCTTTGCTGTATAAGTTGCAGGACTTGCAAATTTATGCATAAAGGTGCGACTTATATGGCGAAAAATACAGTATTTTAAAAAGTATAAAAGTTACTAATACTATAAATTATAACACACTTTTCCAGTATCGAGTCAAACGTTTTGATATTTGAACGGTTAAAATTGCACAAAACGAAGTTTGATTGCAAAAAAAAAAAACATATGTAAGGGTCTACAAGCAGAAAAACAACTGTGTGAACGCTGATTCAGCACTTTACACAACAACATGTTTCTCAACAATCCCAAATGGTTTCAGATGCTGCACACTTGGATGCACATATTCAAATGTGCACGTATTCAGTGTAATATCTGAGAAACAGGCTGAGCTGATACGTCCAATGAGAAGAACAATTCATTGCAGGGTTTAAAGGAGCGATAGATCTTCTTCAAACTGCTGAGCCTCTCCTTTTTGTTTGTGTCACAGGGAGAAAGTAAAGTAAAGGGAGCAGGGGGGAGACAGGCTGACAGAGAAGGACACAGCGGCAGAAGAAAGGGAGGCAGAAAGAGATAAAGGGGTAGAAGAAAGTGAGAGTACCAGGTTGACAGCAGACCTTTAGACCTGGCCTACAAAGAGAAGATTAAAAAAAGAGCTCAAAGAGAAAAATAGATTTCTCAGAGAGGAAGTTTTTTTTTTCCATTCATCCCTTTGCTTGTGTTAGTTTCCTGCCTCAATCTCTGATTTCTGGACTAAATGTTTTCTGCTACATCTGTCCCTCATCCCACATGTGCGTAAAAAGGAGTGTTTTCATTTCACGGATGGAACTGTACCGAGGGGTGAGGTAATAGAGGTCCATTACGTCTGGCTGTGAATGATGGGGCTCATATAACTTTTTATTAGAGTCAGCATCAGCAGATAGTTCACATTATACGGTTACACTTCTGTATCGCTTACAAATTCATTTGTTCACCTTTAAAAAACAAACTCACAAATGGTTATTAATTTATAGTTGGTGTATTATTTGGTTTAGTCGCTTTATGAAGATGGGAGAAATAAACTGTAGTGCGAATGTGAATTTAGACACATTTTGATGTTTGATAAAGACACGAATGAATGGATTTCAACTGGAAATCGTAAAATTTTAAAACCTAAACTTTCAGCAATCTTTACTGACATTACTGGGTCTGTTTTATCCACAACTTTCCTGATTTGGTTTGTTGTTTTTCGGGGTCACCACAGAGTCAGATTGTTACAACAAGTTGACTTAAATCAAAATTTTCACTAAACGATGGCAGGGGTTCTCAAACTTTTTGAGTTCAGGGGAGAAAAAGCTGCAGGGACCTTCTCATAGCCCTCGTGTTTATTAAATTATTTTCTTCAATTTGTCTCTTTAATGCAATGGAAATATTTGTGTAACATAAATACTTAAGACCTGCTCTTTAATAGTGTTAATACAATTTTTATACTTTTAAACATGGGGTACAGTAGTCCCTTGTTTATCGTTGGGAAGCCGTACCCTGAAGCCCCGCGATAAGTGAAAAACAGCTAAGGAGGAATAGTATTACAAGTTTTAGTTTATTTTAGTATTTATATATAAATATAAAGGCATTTTAAACACTTCCCACACTCTTGCAATATTCTAAACAATGTTTCTAAACTCTAAACGAAGATAAGATAAGAGCACAGAATGTCATGATTTCAGCTCTCAGGCTATAGGCCACGCCCACTTCTCCGCTGCAGAGTGGAGCTCATGACAGGCTGCCAGCTGGTGCTAAATAATTTAAAATAATTTATTTTAAATAAAAATTCCATGACGATCATGTGGCTCATCCATCAATCAGCCAGTTGTGTGTCATGTCCAATCTTATTTTGAAAAGCCGCGATAGAGCGAGTCCGCGAAAAAAACGAACCGCGAAGTAACAAGGGACTACTGTGTTTTTCATTCAAGACACACTTCATTAACAACATTTTTTAATTTCGATTTCCAAAAATTACAGTTTTGAGAAAATGAACAGTATCAAAAACCACTTTAAAACTTTAGCTATTCACTTAATGAACATGAATGTGTCGCCACTTCTTCAAATTATTACAGAAATCTCTACATAAAAATGAACAGCATCATAACAGTAGTTATACCAAGTAACAGGGCTTAATGTGTAAACCAATCAATGCCGGAATGCAAATAGCAGGTGGACTAATGGGGCGGGGGTGCGGGGGGTCATTGGGTCCTCCCCCAGAAAACTTTGAATAAAGTAGATGCGATTTCCTGCATTTTGGTGTATTTTAATGGGTTGTTAAACATTTACTTTTTTTTAATTTTGAGGACACCCAAGCACTGACCCGCGGCCCCCTGGGAGTCTGGGGGCCCCAGTTTGAGAACTACTGTGATAATGCTTATAAATGTCAAAACCAATAACTGGCTGAAAATGGGTTGTGAGCCGGTTTGTTTTCTAAATGTGAATTTACATTTCAGATTCTCCCCCAGCCCACACGCTGCTGTTTGACTGTCATCTGTAGGAAAAATACCATGTGAACAGAGACTCCCAAAAAGGCCTGCAGCGAGGTCACAGCTCTTTCCAGCATGATATCACTGCACTTCTACAATCTTCTGACTGTGAGAGTGTTCAGTGACATCATGTCTCGCCAATCTCAACCTTGAGCTACAAATTACTCAAACTGATATGTGAGAACACTAAATGTGCCTTTTTTTTCCCAGCACTTTGCATAATTCTTTAGATATTTTGTTTTTAAATAACAGGAGAATTGACAAACCTAGCAACCTCTTCTTTACATTTTTTTCTTCTTTTTAACGGAGCAGTGAGGAGGTTTTAGGAGGAATGTGGCTGCCTCTTTCTCACTGCTCTGTTGTGCACTGTGTCCTCATGGTGAGGGCTCAGGAGACAATCCTCAGTCTGGGGCTGAGGTCGGGAGCGTGCAAGGAAAACTTGCATTGTGCCATGTCAGCTTGTACTCCTTAGCCTCATGCTTGGAGCTCTGCAGATGAAGATGTAAGGTGGGTGTTTTCTCTGCTCAGGTCCAGCGCTGCACAAACAGGCAGTGAAACGTCTCCCACGTCGCACGGATGGACAGTTTCACGTCTCTTATTATTATCGCTGTTAACTGTGTGGTCTCTGGTATATGATGCGCATGACTAGTGAGTCAATAACACGACATATTAACGAAAAGCCCTCATTTTACTATTAGTACAAACAGCAGCTGTGATAAATATATATAGTTGCTCCGTGTGTGTTGGGCTGCTAACGATCGATCCTCTGTCTCTCCACAGCCACAGCTTACTTCTCTGCTTTGCTAAATAAAACTTCATGTATTATTCATTTCCATATCAACTGTTATATTTATCATTAAAGGAATAGTTAGGATTTTTAAAAAAAATAGGATTCAGTGGGGCAGCATGGTGGTGCAGTTGGTAGAGCTGCCACCTCTCAGCGAGAAGGTCAAGAGATTGAATCCGGGCTGGGGGGGGGCGGCTTTCTGGGTGGAGTTTGCATGTTCTCTCCGTGCATGTGTGGGTTTTCTCCTGGTACGCTGGTTTCCTCCCACAGACCAAAAACATGCATGTTAGGTTGATTGGTAACTCTAAATTGTCCCTAGGTGGGAGTGAGAGAGTGAATGTTTGTCTCGTTTGTCTCTATGTGTCCTTGTTATGGACTGGAGACCTGTCCAGGGTGTCCCCCACCTCTCACACAGTGATTGCTGAGTTTGGGCACCAGTGACCCGCGTGACCTGGAAAGAAAAGAAGCGTTTAAAGATAATGGATGCATGGAGTTCAGTGGAAAGTTATGAACAGTAAATATCTTACCTGTTGAAGATAACTCTTTAAACATTCTCATTTTGGAGAAATGGCAATTATTTTTTTAAAGGAGACAAGCTAACAGCTAGTCTGAGCAGGGCAAGTTGATTTATGTTGTCTAAAAACAACTACACTCTTACAAATTTGATATAAAGGAATGAAAATGCTGTTTGTTTGTTTTTTTAATTAAAAACACTAAACTTTGTGTTGTAGTTATTCACACAAATGTCTGGTTAGACTGGAGACAGGTTAGGTCTGATGTCTATTATAAAAAATAATTTAGGTAAAACATCCATCCATCCACCCATCCATCCATTGTGAAAAATTACTTTTCAAATACAAAACTGTAAGGTGGGATAAATGATGCAAAATTACGGGTATTCAAGAAAAAGCCATTTTATTGTTTTTTTCCATCTTTTTTCACAGCAGGTGACTCTGAGTTATCATGTTTGATTTTGCACTATATGTTGCTCGTGGATCATTATTATTACCAGAGAGCAGACCTACCCCGTCTTTACTATGGAATTATATATATAAGTAATTGCTCAAATTTTACAGTTCTGCTAAAGTAAAAAAAAAGGCTTTCACATTAACTGTTATAAATTGTCTTAATGCTGGAGTTGTTTTAACATGGCAGCAATCTCCTTTCTGTTAGCTTATTGATCCATTCAGTACTTTTATTTCTCCCTAACTGGAGGATCTGAGATCTATCTCCAACAGGTTAGATATTTGTTTTTAACTTATCCACAGAACCCAACAATAAATTAAATGCAAACTGTTCCTTTGTGTGAGTCGTGACTAAAATTTCGAGGATGAATTTTGACAAACTTTTAATGTGCTTGTGCTCGGCAGCCCATGTTTTCAGTCACACCCAGCCTTGCCACCAATGCCAACGCTGCTGCAGCCGCTGCGTTTAACCCCTACCTTGGCCCCGTGTCGCCTGGCCTCATGCCTGCTGACATCTTGCCCAGTGCACCTGTACTGGTCACCAGCAACCCCAGCGTTCCTGTACCTGCTGCTGCTGCTGCTGCACAGAAACTCATGAGGACAGACAGACTGGAGGTGAGGAACTCATTTCCATGCATGCTTTATGACCAAGAAACAACAAGAAAAACTAGAGAAATTGCATTTCCTGCGAAAATAGTGTAAATGCTTATTGCAGAAGAACTTGCTGAAAAACTGCTGAAATTATCTTAAAAAAACATGCTGAAATGTAGCTGAAATGGAAGAACAAGCCAAAGTTAGCAGAAGGAAGCATAAAGGACACATATTTGCTGGATAAGGTTTAAATAAGCAGAAATGAGCACAAAAGATTATAAATTTAGCTAAAAAATAAAGCTGAAATTAGTAATAAATAGCTGAAAGTAGCTAAAAAAGCTAACAGAAACTTAAATTAGAAGGACGTGGAGAGAGTACAGTTTTGTCCAATTAGGTTGAAAGAAGCAGAAATTAGCATAAAAAGTGGAAATTATCTGAAAAAAGCTGAAATGAAAAAACTGCTGAAGCTAAAGAAGCTGCAACAAGCTGAAATTACCAGGATGAAGTGGTAAGAACACATTTTTTGATGATTAGGATGAAAAAAGTATAAATCAGTGCAAAAATGTGAAATTAGTTCAAAAACCTCAAATTAGCATAAAAACAGCTAAATAGTACTTGAAACAGCAGAAATAGTTGAAACTTGGAGAAATAAGCTGAAATAACCATAACAAGCTGAAAATGCCATAAAGAAGTTAGAAGAAGCAGAACAATCTTCTAGTTAGCAGAATAAAGCTGAAAGGAGCACAAAAGAGCATAAATTTGCTGAAAGTAGCTGATTTTATTTGATTTATTTATTTTTGCACAAGGGAGGAAAAGGATGACAAAAAAAACGTACAGAATAGATAAAATACTGTAGTCGGAATCAGTTTAAGATTAAACTGAATTACCGGTACAAATTTCCAGTAAATACTGCACACACATCCCCCCCCCCCCCACACACACACACACACACACACACAGATCCTTTTTATAGCAGCACAGACTGACTGGGCTTTGAAATGTGGACTGTCTCTATTTGAATATTAAAGGCATGGCTTGGAAAGTCCTGCCTCAACAGTTTCTGATTGTAGATTTTAATTATGTGTGTGGTATACCGTTCCTGTCACAGCAAGTACATATCATTAGCACAGCTCAGTCATTACCAAGACATAAGCAAAGCGAGCAAGACAGTAATGAGATTACTGCTCTACCAGCCTTACCCATGTCCCTTTCATTAACAAGCAGGAAACAACATGGTTTGGCACAAACTCAAGTTGTTTCGTACAAAAAAAAATGTTTTTTATCTTTTCTTTCTTCTATGACATTATTCATTTGAAGCCTGATGCGTGCCCCTTCCTCTTGCCTGCTAATTGGACAGTAAGTCAATCTCATCCATTATGTAGCTGCGCTCGGGAAACACTTGCAGCGGAGTAATGGGGAAATCGTTGGAAGCAGGCAGGAGGCGTGCGAGAACGGTGGGGAGGTTACATTTAACTTGTAATGTTTGGTCGTTGGGTAATTAATGGGGGTGAGGCCGAGTAAGTCACTAGATGTGGCGAGCGAGAGAGCGACATGCAGCGCGAGGGAACGGGCCAATGGTGACAAAGAGAAAAGGAAGTGAGGGAGATTGGAAATCAATCTGCAGACCTGTTGTGGTCATCAGAGGAGGGTTGGGGCAAAAACAAAGTAAACTAGAAAAATTGCATTTTCCTGTGAAAATGCAGTGTGAATTCTTAGTGCTGAAGAACTTGCTGAAAAACAACTGAAATGGAAGATCAAACCTAAGTTAGCAGAAGAAAGCAGAAAGAACAGAGTTGATGAATTTGGTTTAATTAAATAGAAAAATTAGCCCAAAAATTAGGAAATTAGCTAAAAAAATAAAAGCTGAAATTACAAATATGTTGCTGAAAAGTAGCTGAAAAAGGCAGAAAGAAGCTTAAGCTACCAGTAGAAAGTGGAAGGAGTTCAAATGAGCTAAAAAAAAAATTGGAATTAGCTAGAAAAGCTAAATTGAGCACAAAACAGCTAAAAAGTAGCTGAAATAGCAGAAAAAGCTGAAACTAGCGCCAAAACAACCTAAAATTAGCAGAAACAAGTTAATTAGGCTAAAATAGCAACAACAACAAAAATACCATGAAAATTTTGAATTTATCTGAAAACAGCTAGGATTAGCTAAAAATGCTTTAAAAAAGTATCTGAAAAGGTATAGAACAAGCTTAAATTAGCAGAAGAGAGCAAAAAGAACATGTTTGCTGAAAGAAGCAGAAAAGAGCTAAAAATTGGAAATTATATGAAAAAAGCTGAAATTAGCAACAACAAAAAAGTAGCTGAAAAAGAAGAAAAAACTTAAATTAGTGGAAGAAGACAGAAAGAACACACATTTGCCCAAATAGGCTGAAAAAAGGAAAAATTAGTAGAAAAAAGTGAAAATTATCTGACAAAAGCTGAAATTAGCAACAAAAAAAAAAAAAAAAAAAAAACAGCTGAAAAGTAGCTAAAAGGCAGAAATAAGCTGAAATTTAAAGGAAATGGAGAGGGCACATTTTTGCTGAATTAAGCTGAAAAATGTTGAAATGAGTGCAAATAATGTGGAATTAGCTGAAAAAGCTTAAATTAGCATAAAAACAGCTATATAGTAGCTGAAATAGTAGAAAAAGCAGAAACTTGCAGAAATGAGCTAAAATGAGCATAATAAGCTGAAAGAAGATGAATCAGAACAAAAAATGTGAAAGGAGCAGTAAAAGATTGTAAACAGATCTAACAATGTGAAGAATGTAAAATGAGCTCACTTCATTTTCTATGAGGAAAAAAATGACAGAAAAAAAAGCTAAATATTTCAAAAAGCTAAAGTTGTACCAATATCAAAAGTCATAGCAGGATTGTCCTGAATGAGCTGAACGTTTTGAAATATTAGTTGAAATAACTTGAAAACTACAGGACGAGAATTGTGTCGAAAAACACAGAGAAAAACTGATCACAATAGTGTGGGTGCTTCATGAGCATTCACACTATAACAGAGACTGGATTTCATAGAAAAAGTAGTGGTTGGGAATAATTGCATGCAAGAGGTTGTTTTGAATCCAACTGCAGAATAAAAAGTGTTTGGCCAAAGATTAGGCATTGGGAATCAAAGTCTTGAAGGCAAGCAGAGAATGTGAAATATTTATGAACCTAATGCAACAATAATCTGCTCAGCGGTTGCTTGTCCACTCAAGCCCAGTTGTTAACAGTCTTTATTTGGAAACGTGAAATCACATCTCTTTTTTTCCCCCTTTTCGAAATGCTTGCTTAAAATATCTCAGAGAGAAGTGCCTGTCGTACTTTAGTTTCTAGTGTGTGTCATTCAAAGTAAACACAGCAGGAATTCTGTGGACGGACACACGAACCAGTCAGTTGATAAGTTATGGACCGTTTTCTTGAAGCTGACAGAACTTCCTATTTTAGAAGACTGTTTTATTCAGACTTTTTTTTTTCATCCTCTACAGTAAAATGTAACATCTCTGCATGCATTCAGTCACATGTTGCTTCACCTGAAGCCGTGGTGATTTAAATGTCCCAAAAGGAACAAGTTGCCATGGAGACAGAATCATGGTTAAAAGGCCCCTTTGGTCGTTTGTCCAGTGAATTACTTTTATCTGGTGTAACTTCTGCTAATGTACATCTGTTAAGAAACATGAACGGGAGCACACCTGCAGCCTTGAACATTTAATTGATGCCATTTAATCTAGTCTTGCCTGTCTAATTTTTCATCAGCTGCACTCACCTCCGTCTCCTCCATCCCCATCTGTCAGTACTTTTCTCTTTATTCATCAACCACGCTACTATCTTGCGTTCTTTCTCCCTCCCTCACCCGCCTCGCTAACATCTGCCTGACAACAAGACAGTCTCTCTTAAAAGGAAGAACAAAATAAAGGCTCCTAGCATCAGCAGCAGTGGGAAATGCTCCTGTGTGGCTTCGCGCTCGTTTGTGAATGCCTACCTAAAGAAACAAAAGAGAGGTTGGGAGATAGTCCCACCCTGCTCCTTGCGCTGATCAGCAATTGTGCAGGATCAGCTGTAGTCAGGTGCAGAGCTCTGTGTAGGTAACGGGGTTGGTGGGTTTTTTTTTTTTTCTGGCAGCTGTTCCTCTTCAAATCAGATTTTGCATGAAGACAGTGAGTCTGGTAAAATAACCTGCTTGCTCTGTCACAGAAACCCATCGGTCAATACAACTCAGCGTGAAATTACAAGCAGATGTTTGACGTTATTGTGCTTCTCCCTTAGTGTCAGATTCTGTTTTGTGGAGGCTGCCTCATTAATTATGTGCGTCCAGCTTGTGAGTGTATTTGTGTTATTTATTGTGTGTGTGCTTATTGCATCAGCTAAAGCCTCCCTTGAGGGTAACCAGCCTCTTATTTCCCATGAGCCTCGCTTTAAACAATGCCATCATACTGAAGCAATTACTTTCCTCCTTGGTTGGCCACTGTTCATGCAGGTGCTGCCCTCTTCTGCCTCGTAAAAGACAACAACGCTGGATGATTTATTTAAAGACTGGATTCACGTTGTTTTGATTGATGAAACTATAAATCCTGGTTAAAATATGTCCAACTTATCAATTTAGCAGTATCGGCCAAACCTGCCATAAAGATTGGTTGGTTCTGTCAGGAGTAGTAGTTGTGGAATGATTCAGCAGACCGAGTAGTTCATTAACTGTGAAGTAAAATGAGCAGCAACCTAATTATTCATGCCTAGGTTCCAGCAAGTCTGCGTGTTTAGCTCAAGGTCGAGTTCTTACCGTTTTGTGTGTGAACCCAGGTATGCCGGGAGTACCAGCGAGGTAACTGCACGCGTGGGGAGAACGACTGTCGCTTCGCTCACCCAGCAGACAGCACTATGATTGACACCAACGACAACACAGTCACTGTGTGTATGGACTACATAAAGGGCCGCTGTTCAAGGGAAAAATGCAAATACTTTCACCCTCCGACTCACCTGCAGGCCAAAATAAAAGCTGCCCAACACCAAGTCAACCAGGCTGCAGCCGCTGCAGCTTTGGTAGGTATCTGTCCACCACATAGCTCCAGCAACGAGTCATTTTAAACTAATAAACATCACACTAAAGTCTTTTTACTTGCTCTTTTCTGCTTTGATGTACTATAGTCAGTGGGCTTTAGTAGCTATAGGGGCAGTAGTATCCATGCTAATATGTGACTGAGCCTTCTGCTCCTCCTTTTGCTTGTTTTGCTGCTTTATTAGTTATTATTTGCATTTCACAGTCAATATGTAGCTGGCGCAAATTTATTTATTTATTTGCTGATAAGACAACTGTGTAGAGACGACTGTTCAGTTCAGTCTTGTTCCTGCACTGCAGTGATTTGTCTCTCCAGGGACACGTGAAGGTTTTGCTCAGCTAAGTGCTGTAGATGACATTTTGTGGAGCAGGTAATCCAGGAAGGAGGATTAGCTTTGATCCCAGGTAACCCTCTTAAATGAGATAATTCAATAAGGGTAAACTAGGAGTGTTATTATAAAATCTTCGTCCTCGCTATAAAAGTGGAGACAACATGCTTATTGCTAAACTTCAAAATGTAAAAAGTTACTGGAATAGCTGTCACGAAGCTAGTATGTTGTTGAAAATAACCAAATGTGGTCGTCAAATTAATTTAGGAATTATGATACAAATATAAAGACATATGGAATGCAGTTAAGATAAAGTAACTACTGTAATTTCTGGACTATTGAGCGCACCTGAATATAAGCCGCGCCCGCTAAATTTAAAGAGAAAATTACAATTTTACATAAATAGGCCGGACTTGTCTATAAGCCACAGGTGTTCACGTTGTAACATGAGATATTTACACAGAAATATATATTTTTTTACTTTTAATTAAATATGTCAGAGTCAGAGTCAGAGTTTCTTTATTGTCATTCGCACCTCATGTGGTACATGTGGTGGAGCGAAATTATGTACACGGGGTCCCAGTTACATCCAACAATAAAATGTATAAGAAAAACAGTAATAACATCTAAGATATGAACTAAGAAAAACATCAACTAAATATACACTAAGCACTCATAACATAAAACATTGAACATCAGCACAAACATGAACATGAGTCTGTGAGCAGATGTGCACGCATATGTACTGGTAACACGCACAAATACAGTAATTTATTTTATTTTTATTTTTTTTGAGCAGTGCCTGTAACAAGGCTGATTAAAAAAAATACAGTAGTCTACCAGGAAGTCATTGATCACTACCCCCTAGGAGATATGTGTATTGGGCAGCTATGTGAGCACCTGGGTGTGATGAAGCTAAATGTTTTGGTGGCATGAAGCTCATTAGCCCATCAAAAAAAAAACAAATCCATAAATTTGCCGCAGCTTTGTATAAGCCGCGGTGTTCAAAGCGTGTGAAAAAAGTAGCAGCTTATAGTCCAGAAATTACGTTAATACTAATAAATGGTTACACAAAGCCATTGTACATGGACTTTTTTACATATATCATTGTGCGTGCGTAAACTCTGGCACCCCGTGCCCTTATACATTCAAAGCTACTCAAGGTCGATGTTTAACTCTAGTCTTTCAGTCCTTTATACCTGCTTTTTATTTATTTTTATATACATCTATACTTTAAAATGGGTTTTATTGGTATTTTACGCTGTCATAGTGAAAGTCCTCAACATTTAATGTTTCTGGTTGTTGGAATGACTGCAGAGCACAGCTGAAACAAATAGATATAAACACTGTTTAGGCTAAGTGTATGTCAAAGAACCATAAATAGACAGGAACACAGTAGTCCCTCGTTTATCATGGAAATTACATTCTGGACCACCACCCCGCAACAAGTGAAAATCTACAAAGTAGAATTGACAGATTTCTGAGTTGAAACAACCAAAATAGTTCAGTCAACTAATAAATTGAAATCAACTAAACTAAAGCAAAAGTTTATTAACCAAGAGTTTATTAATTACGACAGAGTATTAGTTGCCATGCTAAGGGAAAAAATTACATTACGAACAAGAATAAAGTCATAGTATTACGAGAATAAAGTCATACAAGAATAATCTCGAAATATTATGAGAATAAAGTAATAATATTACGAGAATAAAGTCGAAATAATACGAGAATGAACTCATAATATTGCCAGAATAAAGTGGTAATATTATCAGAACTCCGACACGAAAGAGCAGGCTTACAACTGCAGTAAAAAGATGAATGTTGACGTCGGCAGAACAATAGCAGGGGGCCCAGTGCACTGTGGTATATGGATTCTTATGATGAACTGAAGCTGTATGACATTGCAATTAATGGCTACATTGACAAGCACAAACAGTGACCCAAAAGTGAATGCGGACTACTTCGTAAACACAGTGACTCGCATTGGAGGCTGTCCACAGCAGGTGTGAGCCAACACAGGATGTATTACAAGTTTATTCTCGTAATATTTTGACTTTTTTCTCATAATGTAATTTTTTTTCCTTCTTAGCATGGCCCTAATACTACAAAATGGCGGCACTTTTTTTTTTTCCTCGTGTACAACCTTACTTTGAAAAAACGTGAAAGATTGAGTCCGCGAAAGTCGAGCCACGAAGTAGCGAGGGACTACTGTATATCTAGACCATAATGCATTGCAAAAATGATGACACTGAGCATGAGCGTTAGTATCAGTAAAAGGCCAGTTGCTTAGTTTATTTGGTTGTAACATGTCAGAAGGCGCTAGTCATCTTAGTGGCTTTTATAAGTCTAAAGCTCAACATCTGAACAAAGAGCAATGATGACAGCCACAAATCTTGGTTTTGATATTAAGGGATTAATGTAAGCTCAGAAAACAGACTCTTCCTCCCAAAAGCTTCTAAAAAGTAGTCTTTAATCAATAAAGTTACCATGCTATCAAAGCACTTTTTTTAATAGAAAAACTATTTTAATTGAACTAAATGCATGTGGTTGTATGATTAATCTTCCTCCTTGGACCAGAGCTCTGTTTAAACAGAAGTTACAATTCATGAACCTCTAACAGTAAATGGCATCAAGCACTTGAATTCTTTTCAGTAACACTGTGCGCATGCCCTAGTCTTGTAAGTGGTGTATATTGCATTCCAATGATTTTGTTTTTTTATTTGTTTGTTTGTTTTTGTTTGTTTGTTTTTCAACCCACACTGCACTGCTGCCCCCCCATGATGCACCTCCGCTTGCTGGTTTATGTTATTGCGCTTGAATCCCATTGGCCCATTGCCATCATGTGCTCGCTGCCTGCTAATTAAGACTCAGTCGGCTGTCAAATCACTGAAGCGACCCCTCGACGCAACTTTTGACCTGGTACTATGACCTTTCACCTTTTAGCTTGGCATGTAGCGGTGGTGTGATACATATACTTGTGAACTATGTAATTAATTACAGAGGAACCACTTAGGGGTGATGAACAGTTGGCAGTTTTGCCTCATAAAATAAATAATAAAGTTTTCCTTTGGAATATTGATTTTAAGACTCCAGATTCCTAAATGTGAAAACGATTTAAATGATAAAATGACTCATATTTAATGTCAGTTCATCGCCTTTTCATGATTCTTCAAAATTATTGTCATGGGGAATATTTTAGTGTCCAGTAACATACTGTCTGATAGTCGTCGCATGTTTTTGTTCCTTACCATATTGCATGCGTAGTTCGTGAAGAGGTGTCATGACAGGGTTAAAATGGTTTATAGGGAACTATTATCATGCAGTTTTCTCCAACTAAATCAAATATTGATGGTACGACAATGAGTTCATCTTTTATCCTCAGTGTCATAAAATTATCTTTAAAGATGTCAGGCTACATGCTGCAACAATAGTAATTTGCATATTGCAGCTATTACTTATAATAATAGAATATTGTATTTTATAGATGCACTATGGCTTGTTTAGGTTGTGTCTAGCAAGACCGAGATCTCATTTTGTCAACTAGCTTCACTTTGCACCTCTGACAGCAATAATATGGGATTTATTGTTCTCTCTGTTCTGAATGTCACTGGTGCCATCTTTTTGTTTTTCTCACCTCCATCCTTTTATGTTGGTGCTGTCCCCTTATCAGGGGCTCCCTCCTGTCTTGTCTCCCTTACCAAAGAGACCTGCACTTGAAAAAGCCAATGGTGCCAACTCTATGTTCAATGCTGGTGTATTCCAGTACCAACAGGCCCTGGCCAACATGCAGTTTCAGCAGCAGGCTGCCTTCATACCATCAGGTAAGGCCTCGATCTTCTTTAACCCACCCAGAACTGCCTGTTAAATGTTACTTTCACTCGCCTGGTTTATGTTTTGCTATCACAGAGAATGGCTGAATGTACTCTTTTTTTTTATGTGAAACGTGCATGCAATATGTACAGCATGGTTGTGGGTTTGTTTGCAGTAGCTGGAAGAGTAAAGTTTATTAAGGTTCTGTTTTAGGGACTTTTTTTGTACAAATCCACGTCTTTAAAATATAATCTGCACAAGTCCTGCAGTTTAAAGGTTTTCCTTGTTGAACCTGATGAGGAACCTATGTCAACATTTGATAGAAAATATATATGTTTATCTATAGGGAGCTCTTAAAGTGTCTTTTCAGAAGCTAGGAGCATACATTCTCTTCATACAGAGGGAGAATTACTCCCCCGGTGGACAGATATGTGCATGTATAGCTGTTCAAACACGAACAGCTTATTTGAAGTAGTCTTCTTAGGGCACTGCAGAGTCATCTTAGACTGTGGCCAGTATTCTCATCTGACAGTCTAAGAATAGCCTGCCATCGATTCCCTGCAGTTCCTCATACGTCTCACTTTACTGGGCTGTCAGGTCACCACAACACACTTAGGAGATTCAAAAAGGAGGTCATTCAAACGTTTCATGGTGCAAACAGCTGTTCTGTAGTTGACAGGGGAAACAAGGCCACATTTTGTATTTAATTTGTGTTTACTGGACCAGATGAATAATAATCCCAAGACTATTACTTGAGTTATTATCACTGATCATCAATATTAGCTAAAGTTAATGTATTGAATCAAGTAGGTTAAACAATGTAGTAGGGGTGACGAGCTCAGTTACCTAAAGGAGACAAAATTTAAACACTTTGTCCAAGCCACGGGACACTTTCAGCTGATACCTTAACTCAAGTCAGATACCTGATATATTTTCTTAGTTGCTGTCTCACGTGACGTTCTGTTACTCTTTCCACATCAGAATCAGTAATGACAGAATTATCCAGCCGTCTTTTCTGTCTTCAAAGTTGGCCAGCTGGCAAGAGAAGTCTATACTAAATGATGTATTTATCTTTTTTTTTATTATTATTATTATTAGAAAAGATTTTTTTTAAATTACATTTAAATTATCATCTTGAGGGATCAGATTTAGCCCGTGGCTCTTGAGTTGGACATATGTGATAGAGGATCATCTGTTTATATTCAGGTCAAAATTCACTTTTGTCTGACTCTGTAACACTCTCTTTTTTTCATTTGTCCCCCCCCCCCCTCCCATTCACTCCAATCCCTGCTGCAATGCATGATGGGCAGGCTCGATATTGTGCATGACACCTGCAACAAGTGTTGGTAGGTGCAAGCTTTCCTTAATGACTATCTTTGTGGTCTCTACTGTCTTGTTTGACTCACCATATAATATGAGCACATTTTTCACTTTGCCTAATTGTACCTAATTAAAATGACACATCTGATCTCTTTATGTCTGATAAAACTGCAAAATCTCATTATTGAATTTAGTTATGTAATCCCATCAGGAGGCTTTATTATACTGTAGCCTTCAGTGCATCGTCCTCCTTTTAGCCCTGCCACAGTTTTATCAGTAACCTAATGCTTGTTGCAGTGCAAAATCCCCAGCTTCATTATATCTCCATCTCAGGCTCTCTAACCTCTGGAGCACCTCATTTAACTGTCTGCTTATATAAGCCTTATAAACATGAGTAGTTATTATTTGAAGCAAAAACAGTAGAGAAGACTGGAGTTGCTACAGTATTCATGTAGGTATGTTTCCTCAAAAACGTAGCAATTAGCGACTCTTCCTTCACTTCTTTGTTTTCTACTTTATCCTGTTCAAGCGCGAGGAGGAGATGAAGCCTTTACGGGGCCTGCTTTTTAAATATCCCTACTCAAATTATTATTATTTTATTTATTTATTCGCAGCTGTCCCTTTTTGTTTCTTAACTCGTGTTCTGGTTGTGACAGCAGGAAGTTTGTTGGTGTGGTCGTTGGCACTGCCACGTCACAGTCAGTTGAGCTGCAAACGTCCACTGGGGCCGTTCTGTTTGAATTTATGTGCAAGAGCAGGTTTTCTGTGAGTTATGTTGTGTCCTCAGACAGTTAGAAATTTCTCCTGTTACATTAAGTGGTGACATGATAATGAGCATCCCATGTGCCGTCTGGTGATCTTCAACAAGGATAAAGCAAACATTTCCAATTAATAAAATATAAACAACAAAGAATTCAGATTTTTAAACTAAAAACTGCTCTCATGTTTATTAGCGTTCTATACACAGACGTGAAAATGAAGTGAAATGCCTGTAAAGATTTAAATCTGCTCCGGTTCAACTGCCTGTGTGATCTTTCCCCTCAAGTACCCATGATGCACGGTGCTTCTCCAGCCACTGTGTCTGCAGCCACCACATCTGCCACAAGTGTTCCCTTTGCAACAGCAACAGCCAATCAGGTTTGCTCCTCTACTGCCTCCTCTCACTCTATTTCACGTCTGCTTTCCACTCAGACTTTTCTGTCTTTTCTAATTATATTGAAATGGCTCTTTGTTAAAAATGCATGAATTGTGAACGATGCCCATTTCTGGTCTTTGTCAGTTACCCTGACCATCAGTGATTGCACACATGATCGCCATGGTTATCTTTAGTATCAGTTTTAGTTGAAGTGCTCTTTGGCTTTGTTTCATCTGATCCATCTGTTTATATGTCTCTGTCTTCTTCATCCCCTCTTCCCCCCACTCTGTATCTCTTTTCTCCTCTCAATCAGATTCCAATAATATCTGCAGACCATCTGACTAGTCACAAGTATGTGACCCAGATGTAGGAGACTCATTCAGAACAGTATGTGCAGCTCTTTGCTACAGCATCACACACACACAGTAGAATATCCAATTTATGAAAACAAAGTTTTATTTCTAACAAAATGTTTGTTTAGGCTTGTAACTAATGCAGAATGCCGATAAAGGTTTGCTGAAAGTTAGATTTGGAAATGAATAATAATAATACTTTATTTATAAAGCCCTTTAAAACAACCACAGCTTCCACAAAGTGCTGTACATATAAAATCAAGAACATTTAAACACATAAAACAGTTGTTAAAACATTAAGATCAATAAAAAAATAATAAAAACAGTGCAGAGCAAAATTCAGTCTGTGCTAAAAGCCAGGGAGTAAAAATGTGTTTTTTAATCATTAATGGAGAATGCCATCAAAGCATTGAGGACCACATTGTATGACAGGACTTGTGGGTACAAATGTAAAACAAACATGAATTACAGATTAGATCAAATCAAGTTCAATGCTTTTTACAGAAATGAACTAAATGAAAAAGCAAAACAGTGCATCTTTGAAAAAAATTTGAAAACGAAAATTGGCTAAATAATACTAACGAGATACTAACGAGCCACCGCAAGTCACATTTTTCAAAATAAATGCATACAAAAGAAATTTACAACTAACA